GGATGGAGCTGCTTCTTTGAGAGAAAGATGATGCTTTCTCCACCCATTAAAGAATTACTGTCTTGGAAAACCCCAGGGGCAGTTCTCTTTGGCCCTGTAGGGTGGCTGAGTCAATTCTGTCTCACCCCAAACTGCACTACGGTTTTATTAGCAATATCTCAAAAGCCTGCCTGATTATTAGAGAAGGGAAAGTTGAAGAAAACGAAGTTCATTCTTAAAAAAAACTTGTATTGTGTTTTAGGTGAAAGTTTGCACAGCAAATTAGTTTCTGGTTTAGCAGTGTCTGCATGACCTGTCCTGTGGCTTCGATGTGTTAGCTTTCTCCCGGTTTCTGCCTGCCGTCTCCTTCCCGTCCTTCCCAATCCCTGCCCCTCCCTGGACGTCTTAGCTTTGATTTTGGCAGATGCTACCCATTTGGTCTCCCGCAGTTGATTGTTCTAAGAAACAAAGCCCTCACAGATGTTAGTGTTTATTTTATAAGCCAATCTATTATTGGCTGCAAGGTAACTTGGCGAGTGGCTTCAGGTCCAGGTTAAAGGGGGGTCTTAGGCCAATCGTCTTGGGAGTTCCCTGGACTCTATCAGCCTAGCAAGTCTGGTCTTTTCCTTTTCTTAATGAATTTCAGTTTTGTTCTACTGAGTTCCATTCTAACTGGGGTCTTCTATCAAATCTCTGCTCAGAGCTCTTTGGTCATGGTCGCTGGGCACCATCTAGTTCTCCTGGCCTCAGTAAGAGGAGACTGCCGTTCCTGTGGTCCATTGGTTTAGTCGTGTGGTCTAATTAGAATTAGACTAATCGCTTCCTTGAGTCTTTGATTTCCTTCCCCCGCCTTGCTCCAGGTAGGATGCATTTACATTTTTAAACTCTCTGAGAAGCAGAAGTGGAAAGTAACTGATCCATGTACAGTTGGCCCTCTAAATCCATGGCTTCTGCAGCCTCAGATTCAACCAGTCATGGATGGAAAAGGTGGCGAAGGAGGAAGCAATTAGGTGGTCAAAGCAATCTCTGAGCCTAAGCGAGCAAAGCATCGCATTGTCTCGGGTAATATGAGTCATCTAGAGATGGGTTAAGTATACAGATGAACGAAATCCAGTTATCTGCAAATACTTCGCCACTTTATATAAGGGATCTGAGCAGCCCTGGATTTGGGCATCTTCAGGGGTCCTGGATCCCCCAACAAATACTCAGGGAAGAGTGGACTTGTCTATCTAAATACAGCCTCCGTATTGGTCGAAAGGTTGATGCCCTTCTGCTTCGCATCCCTAACTGTGTTATCAAACCCAAACCCCAGTGGGTCTGGCTCACGACAACCCCGTGTGTTACAGAGCAGGACTGTGCTCCACGGGGTTTTCTTGGCTGTAATCTGTGCAGACGCAGATCACCAGGCCTTTCTTCCATGGCCCCTCTGGGTAGGTCCAAACTGCCCACCTTTCCGCTACTCCTTGAGCACAAATTGTCGGCGCTAACCAAATTACAGTGCATCAGTGGGTGTTTTAACACAGGTTTGGAAGCCTAAACACTCACCCACCAGGAAGTTAGTTCTGTGTCTGCCCCATCAGCTTCCTGAGGGCAAAACTCGCACCCCTGTTGCCCACCCTGCTGCTGCTTCTCTGTTTTCTAGGGGGCTTCTGGTCCACCAGGCAGGTCTCCTCTCAGAGGTCTCTTCTGCAGTGCCCCCGCCCTGTGTGGTGACGTCACCCATCTGGAACAGTCACGTGTTCCTGTTGGCTTCTCCTTGGTTGTGTCCCCTGATGAGAAGGTCACATTCCCAAGAGTGCCGCTGAGCAGCCAGCCACTCCATACCCCGTTGCTTAACAGACTGGACGGACCAATGGACTCCCAGACACTAACTGCCCCTGTCTGACCCGGCAGGTGAAGGCCGAGCTGAGGAAGCACTGGGTCCGCTTCTTGCTTGCCCACCGCTCGGGCGGCAGAGCCTGGTTCCTGGGGAAGCACTTCCGGTTCCCGAGGCAATTTCCCAAGGAGTTCTCAGAAGGAGACGACGCAGGGACACTGCAGAAGCTGCGGCTCTCAGCCAGTGGTGGGGGGCACCTCTCACACTTGGCTGCCAAGGGCCTGGGAGAGCTGGGTGCCGGGCCCCACCGAGGCCACGGGGCCTGGCCCCGGGGCCTGTCTGAGAGCAGCGAGGGGGACTTTACCTTGGCCAATACTCTGGAGGAGGTGCTGGAGGAGAGTGAGATCTAGGGTAGGGGGCCATGCTGGACAGGGAGGGGGTGGGTTGGGAGGGTGCCAGAGGAGGAAAACAGTTGGGTGGATATTGCCGTGTCTGGACTCCGCCGGCCCAAGGTCAGCTAACACTCTCAGCTTCCAGCTGCCCAGTCATCCTCCTCACGGCCTGGGGCATCTCTCCCCGCAGGGCCTGGCCCTACCAGCCTGCAGGGAGAGGTCCCTTGTTTAGTAGACACCAGTCAGCATCTCCTGTTTTAGCTGGTAGGGCACACGGGCGCTATCCGAGGCTGGGGTTAGGAAAGCTGAAAACCACTTGGCAAGGGCAAAGGGGCCTCAACATGTTTGTGGG